TTGACAGCTGCTGAATGACTGTTGCTGAATGACTTTTGACAGCTGCTCAATGACTGTTGCTGAATGACTGCTGACAGCTGCTGAGTAACTGATGTTAGCTGCTGAATGACTGTTGCTGAATGACTGCTGACAGCTGCTGAATGACTGCTGACAGCTGCTGAGTAACTGATGTTAGCTGCTGAATGACTGCTTACAGCTGCTGAATAGCTGCTGACATTGTCTCTGTCTCTTGGTGACTCCAGCAGCTGAAGTGATGTTTTAGGTTTTTCGGCTCATGTTTTTATATTTATTAGTAATAGAATCAATTTTTATTTTACTGGAAGACGGTTCAGACCAACAAGTTTATTCTCGTTAGTTTTATTGATTTTTGTTAGAAAACAAACACATCAGGTGTTTTTATTCACATAAAGGATTTTGCTTAATGAATAAAAATAAAAGAGGCAGATATTTGGATTCACTGCAGGTCGGATTATGTCTCTAATCTGTCCTCTTCCTGTCTGTAATCTGTCCTCTTCCTGTCTCTAATCTGTCCTCTTCCTGTCTGTAATCTGTCCTCTTTCTGTTTCCTGTTCAGATTGGTCACATTGGATCAGCTTCCATGGACGTTTTGGAGGACAAGCTGAAGGGTTTGTCCCTTGCCCAGCGGTCCCATCAGAACGGGTCCATCTACCTGCTCCATGGCGCCCTGCAGCCCGGCGGCTTCCTGGCAGTGTCCTGCTCTGATCGCACCATCCGTCTGCAGGACAGGACAACTCTGGACCTGCTGGGGGAGTACCGGGGCCATGCCGGGCCTCTCTGCGGTCTCACCTTCGCTCACACCTCTTCTGACCTGCTGTACTCCGGCTCCACTGATGGGACGGTGCGAGCGTGGGACGTGCGGTGCCCCGGGACAGAGGCGGTCCAGATGTTCAGAGGCGACCCATCTCACAGTTTCTGCAGCTTGGACCTGAACTGCAGCGACTCACTCCTGTGTGCCGGCACCGAGCAGGTGGACAGAGAGGACAGCTTCCTGGTCTTCTGGGACTGCAGAAAGGCTGGCCGTGGGCTCCTCGGGGTGTTCTCTGAGTCACACAGTGATGACATCACACAGGTGCGCTTCCATCCACAGGACAGGGACCGCCTGGCCTCAGGCTCCACAGACGGCCTGGTGAACGTGTTCGACCTGAGCCAGGGAGGGGAGGAGGAGGCGCTGCTGCTCACCTGTAACAGCGACTCGTCGGCAGGTGTGGTGTGCTGGTCCGGACCGGACTCCACCCAGCTGCTGTGTCTGAGCCACGACGAGGGGCTGCACCTGTGGGATGTGGATCAGGTGGACTCGGACCAGCCCCTTACCATCTTCAGCTGCTCTGACGCTCGCAGGCTGACGCCACTAGCTGATAAGGGAAGCGTGGATTACCTGGTGGGGGGGATGTGGCTGGAAGAGGCTCAGACCCTGCTGGTGGTGGGGGGGAGCAGCAGTGGGGACCTCCACCTGATGGGCTGCGACAGCGGGGGGCTTAGTCTGCTGAGCAGTTTGGAGGGCGGCCACACCTCCACGGTGCGCTGCTTCTTGTGGGACGCAGCCGGGGGGTCCCTGATCACCGGGGGTGAGGACGCTCAGCTGTTGCTATGGAAACCAGGAGGGAAGCAGCTCTTCGATGGGAAAAGTCAGCCGATGAAGATCGATTCTGCTCTGAAAGTGAAATCCAGACCTCACAGAAAACACAAATACCAGAGAGAGAAGAAGTAGGCGTGGCCTGTGGAGGCGGAGCCAATATCCGAGTTTTATTTGACAGGAAACGCAGTCACCGCACGAGCTAAAAGAGTTAACTGTGAGGTTGACTCATTTTACGAGGTTTTAATGAAGTGTGTCTTTAGTCCATGATCCTTACAGCAGTCTGTGACAGAGAGTGGAACTTAAATGGGTTCTTCCAGGTCAGTACCAGAACCAGGAGCTGTGGGATCAGTGAACCTGGCAGGTGACAAACAGACTTTGACAGTTAAATCAGAAAGCACTGATTACATTTTTCAGGTAGAGAGAAGGCATATGATGACAGAACCGGGTCAGACATACGACCTTCACTCATCACCCCCAGAATTTAAATATGAGAGTTCAGTATAAACTTGTTCTGGTCAGTTTGTGCCTCAGCCTCATGATGAAGCACAGAAAGAACCAACATGAATAATTTCATTGTTTTACAAACGACTGCACGTCTGCACCGAGCTGCAGCTGTGAACTTGAAGCCCGAGCTGTTGGTTTCCATCGTGAGTCTGCAGCCGTCACCATCAGATGTTTTCTGAAAAATAAAATCAAATCAAAAAACTCTATTCTGTAGTTAAAGACGTTTTGTTTGTTCGATTCTAAACTGCAGGAGATGTTCTGTTACTGCAGCTGAACTCACAAGCAGAAGAAACTCCCTGCCCTCCCTCCTGACGGTCCTCAGGTCTTTTAGTCTCCCTCCTGAGGATCGTCAGGGTCTTTGTCTCCCTCCCTTTTGAGGATCATCAGGTCTTTGTCTCCCTCCTGAGTGTCATCAGGTCTTTGTCTCCCTCCCTCCTGAGGATCATCAGGTCTTTGTCTCCCTCCCTCCTGAGGATCATCAGGTCTTTGTCTCCCTCCCTCCTGAGGATCATCAGGGTCTTTGTCTCCCTCCCGACTGATGGTCCTCAGGTTTTTGTCTCTCTACCGACTGTCTTCAGGTCTTTGTCTCCTTCCCTCCTGAGGATCATCAGGGTCTTTGTCTCCCTACTGATGGTCCTCAGGTCTTTGTCTCCCTACTGAGGGTCCTCAGGTCTTTGTTTCCCTCCCTCCTGAGGATCATGAGGGTCTTTGTCTCCATCCCTCCTGATGGTCCTCATGTCTTTTAGTCTCCCTCCTGAGTGTCATCAGGGTATTTGTCTCCCTCCTGAGTGTCATCAGGGTATTTGTCTCCCTCCTGAGGATCATCAGGGTCTTTGTCTCCCTACTGAGTGTCA